CCCATAAGTTTAGCAATTGAAATTCTACTCCTTGGCTTTGCTGTGTGCCATGGCCAAGGACATTGTTAAACAATGCTCTGTATCAGCCTAGCAGGTAAAATTATGACTCTTCAGTAATTTAGGTTTAAGAAATTTACTATATAAAGTAATTCATTTATAAGATGTGGAATTTTCTCAATTCTCTTTCTGGAAGTGCTCATTCTATTGTTATTTTAAGTAAACTAGAACAGATTTAAAATGTATTTGAAGAATGAGGTGTGCAAATATGAAGTGTAAACATAAATGTCTTTTAACACTTTATATTAAAGTCAATGGAGGGAAACTTGCTACTTGGAATAAAAAGATAAATACATCAATTAAACATAGGAAAGATACCAGTAACACAAGGAGAATGCAATAAAGATAGTAAAGGAGACTCAAAGAAAACAAGGGCATTTTACCAATACCACAGTGAGAAAAGAAATATCAGAGAGAAAATAGGTCCACTAATAAATGAAGAGCATGAAATTAATGATGAGTCTAAAATGGTAGAGATAATGAACTCATTTGTAAAATTGGTCCTTAACAAGAAAAATGAAGATAGGAAGTTTCAACAATTAAGTAGTAATGAAAATCTTGCAAAAATAGCTGTTGACAAACAGGAAACAGACGGCCAATTCTATTTTGGGCTGGATCAAAAGAATTATTCCATGGCAATGAAGGAATTTATTATGTCCATGATAATGTACCTAAAATCTTATGCTAAGTTTGTGGCAATTGTGATCAGCTTTATTCTCACATTTACAACTAAGTGGAGAGGAAGAACTTATGGAGGTATCATTTGTCAGGTTTATGCATGTGCAGAAAGTGGTAGATATGCCTAAATGGGTAGAAGAGAAAAGGTTCCTGTGTTGGTTCTACCCTCCAAGCAGTATTGGTGAGCATACTGCTGTGCTGTTAGTAGCTTTCAAATGTGCATTGATTTTATTTGAATTAAAAAGTTGTAAGTCAAAATTTTGATTGACAATCTTAGAAAAAAGCAACAGAAAGCAAAGTAGGATGACATCATGATAGATTATATCAGCTGCCCTATGAATACCTCTTCCTACTTGATTATAGAAGTTATATGACTATGAAACATACTTAGAAATACAAATAGTCCTTTATTATGGTTCCACATGAGTTTCTAACTTTACAGTGGTGCAAAGTGGTACACATTCTGTGGAAATTATAGTTCAAATTTAAAATGTGATCTTTCCCTGGGATTAGTGATATGCAGTATGATATTGCTCACTAGTCAACCACACAATTATGAGGGTGAACAATCAGTGCTTTATGCTACATTGTGGTGCCAGGTGATTTTGCCCAACTGTAGGCTAATATAAGTGTTCTAAGCATGTTTGAAGTAAGCTGAACTTTGATGTCAGTAGGTTAGGTGTGTTAAGTGCATTTTTGACTTAAAATATTTTCGACTTAACAATGGGTTTATCAGAATGTAACCCCATCATAAGTTGAGGAGCACCTCCACTTAATATCCTTGCATTATCAAAGCTTCATTGCTTTTTCCTGATCTACCCAAGATAAATCACACATTAGCAATGCTTTAAAAAAAGATTATGCCTCTATGGTTCTATTTCTCAAACCTCAATACCATGCATGAGACTAGGGCCTCCCTAGTAAAGAGCAACAGAGAAAGTATAGATACTGGCAGAGCCTCCTGGCAATGTGTAGAATGCCATGGCCCAACTCAATAGTCTTTCTCCTCCCTCTCACCTGAAATTCTTGGACTGTGTCTTTTTTTTAAAAGAAGTATACATATCAGATGACAATGTCAACAGGAACAGAATGTATGCGATACAGAAATTAAGCATGTTGGCCATTTTTTCTTTTCTCTCTGTTGTCCAGGCTGGAGGGCAGAGGTGCAATGACAGCTCACTGCAGCTTTGATCTCCTAGGCTGTAACAATTCTTCCACCTCAACCTTCTGAGTAGCTGAGACCACAGGCACACCACCACACCTGGCTAATTGTTTGTTTGTTTGTTTGTAAAGAAGGAATCTCACTACAGTGCCCAGGCTGGTATTGACCTGCTGGTCTCAAGTGATTCACCCATCTTGCCTTCTCAAAGGGCTGGGATTACAGTCATGAGCCACTGCATATTAAACAAGTATTTATTAAGAATGTGCTATATGCCATGTGTATTAGTCTGTTCTCCAGCTGCTAATAGAGACATACCCAAGACTAGAGAAAAAAAAAACGTTCAACTGGACTTACAGTTCCACATGGCTGGACAGGTCTCAGAATCATGGTGGGAGCCAAAAGGCACTTCTTATATGGCAGCAGCAAGAGAAAATGAGGAAAAAGCAAAAGCAGAACCCCTGATACACCCATCAGATCTCATGAGACTTAGTAACTATCCTGAGAATAGCACAGAAAGGCTAGCCCCTATGATTTAATTACCACCTCCTAGGTCCCTCCCACAACATGTGGGAATTCTGGGAGATACAATTCCAGTTGAGTTTTGGGTGGGGACACAGCCAAAATATATCACCAAGGAAGATCTGAAAAGGGATGGCTGAGATTTGAGCTAGGATGTCATCGAAATGAAGAAGTAAGTCTTTCTAAGATCTGAGGAAAAGCCATCCATGCAGAGGAAACAGCAAGTGGGGACAACAATGACCTTAAGGCAGGAATGAACTTGAATCTGAGACTCTAAGGAAGAACAATTTGGTTATATCACGCTAAGTGCAAGGGGAGAATGCCCCAAGATGACAAAGGAAAGGTAGGCAGGGATTATCAGGCAGGATTTTGTAAACCGTAACTAGTTTGTATCATAGGCTGAGTGCAATAGAAACCATTGGACTATTTTAAAGTAAATCACAATGCTGTTATTTTGAAAATTAGTCTCATTTTAATAAACAAGGCTGCCTTCTAATTCAAGGACAGGAAATAAATGTTTTAAATTTAAAAATATACTAAAGAAATAAAAACTTTATATGCAAAATAAGGAATTACTGCATGTTGGAGAAACTCTTCTAAACACGTGGTATCTGAAAAGTTGGTAGAAGATTTTAGAAGGGGTCTTGGGTTTAGGACTAAATCTACAAAAATGCCTCAGCTACCCTGGGTGGTAAGTGAGTAGCCACACGTAGGTAAAGAAGTAGACAAGTTTCAAGAGAAAAAAAGATTAGGGACTATTGTACTAAAAACAACAGTAGCCCTCCGTTTAGGAAGAACTGATTAAGTTCTTTCTCTATTTGCCATTTTCAATGCCAGAATTCCTCCTTGTAAAAAAGCACAACAGAAAAATACCTTTTTGACTATTCCAAATAATTCTCAGGCAGGGTAATATCCACATGTAATTTGAGAAGAACCAATGTTCTGGAAAATAAAATGTGGCCTGGAGCAGCAAAGTGAAAAAAGAATTTTGTCTCTTGTTGAGGGTGAATTTGATCACAGATTCACCAGTGGCAAGCCCTTTTTTGGACCATCCTACAGAAGATCCTGTGGAGTCACAAGGAGTAAAACACCGTTTGACAGAAGATATACTAGCATACTGAGAATACAACTGGCTGGGATGCCAAAAGAGTGCATATATAAAATATACTAATGAGATAAGTTAAAAAAGAATCAGAAACAGAAGAACCAGGCTATTAACAACTAGAAAACTACAGAGACACTTAGATAAGTAGAGAAAACAAGGAGGTGTTAAAAGAGAGGGAAAAAACAGAAAAAGAAAAATGTATACAGTTTTGATGACAGAAGATAAAACACACCCTTTCCGTGTCTGTGTGCTTGAACTCTGCTTTAGAAGAAACATATTCCAAGTATAATGCATGCTTCTGCAGACTGAGTTAAAAGGCTGTTGCCACAGGTATTCAGAAGTGTCTGACTATGAAACTACAACACCCTGAAAGGAAGGGAGTATTTAGTGCTCACAAAGATTTTGCTTTTTCAAGAAACAGTAATCAGTCTGTGTATGTAATTTGGAGAGTAATGTAAATTCAGATAGGGCTTGTTTATAATTGGGTACTAATGTGGGAGTATTGTGCTAATGAAAGAGTCAAGAGGGAGCCAGAGGCTGCTTTAATGGATGGTTTGTAATAACATTAATAGTAATTGTAAGACACAGCAAATTTGCCTAACATGTAAGCCATTGGCTGGTTTCTAAAGGCTTATTTTTCTACAGCATCTTTTAAATCATGGTACACTGCTGGTGAATTGGCCCAGGTTTAGTAGGGGGATGGATTCATGAGGTAGCTATTTCTTTCTGCGAGTGGAATGTCTCAAGAAACAGGTGCCCTAGGTGATGCCAAATATCACTACACAGAGCAGTAACAGCAGAGGGTAATTGCCTGTGTAAATGAGAGGCAGTGGAGAGATGGCAACCCTGGGGCTGCATTACTAAGGCAGCTTTTATGCACATAAGGGTCACTGTTTCTTGCTCTCTACCTTGCCCTTGGCCAGAAGCTTGGAGCCCTGATCTTGGGGAAAAAAAAAAAATGGAATGACAGTTGGAATTCAGTAAAGGTAGGTGATGCAGTGTTATAGAAAAAGCACAGAATTGGAGTTATAAATACTTGTGCTGGAATTCTAGCTCTGCTATGGACTAGTTCTTGCCTGTGCAAATAAAACACTCTGAGCTTCAGCAATACTACAGGGATAAAAATACACATCTCCTACTATTATAAAGTTTAAATATATTAATATGTAAAGCACTCAGCTTCAGTTCCTAGCTCATAAGATCAAACTATTATTTTTATTATCAACACTTCAGAAGGTTTTAGATGTTTCACTCTAAAATCTAGAAAGTATACTTACCAATATATATGAATCTAAAAAACAAAGTTGAGCAAAAAGAGCAAGCTATATGACTGTAATAAAAAGCATGATAAAATGTTTATAGAGACTGGAAAAAAAAGTAAAACCCGAAATACTAGCATGTATTTTTTTTAGAGACTAGAGAAATAAATGGGGATGATAAATCCCAAATTCAGGACAGTGTTTCCTTCCACAGGAAGATGAAAGAAAGAAGGCGAGAGGCTATATAAAGTTCATCAGAGAAGTACATGTGATGGGGTGAGGCTTCCATGGTCTATGAAATGTGTCATTTCTTGAGTTGAGTTGTGAGTATACTTATCTCTCTTCACAGGCCAGGTAAATTTTAAATTAATTTATTAAATTTTTTACTTCCATTTCCTCCATGTTGTACAAAACAGAAAAATTAACAGAGCACTAATATACAGTTTGCTAATATTTAGTAATTTATAGATACTTGTGTGTACATTATCTCGTGGGACCTACAAGCATCAACACATTTAGGCTGGGTAGTATAGTAGGAAAAAAAACTCAACACAGCTTTAGGTTTTTTCTAAAAGCTTGGGCTTGGTGACTGAAGCCATGTCATCAGTCAGTGTCCTTGTTCTTAATGATTTTTGCTTCTTAATCTTTAAAACAATAATAATGCTTACTTCATAGGGAAATGGTGATGGTTGCATAAAATAGCCCATTCATCAGCATATAGAAGGCTCTTAACTAGTATAAGTTCATCTCATACCTAGCTTGCAGGATCCCATGAAGACACTATGCTATGCTGCAGTTGTCTTTATGGGTAAATGAATTTTGGAGTATTTTCACATGACAAGAGGCTGCAAAATATAGTCTTTTTAAAAATCATTAGAGCACAGGTCCTGTGGCACTAAAAAAATCTAGAGAGGGAAAAGGAAGTGGAGATTCAAGGATGGCCTAGAGTATCATTACTAACATCATTTAGAAAGACTTAAACTATTATTTTGCTTATGTGACATTCATGTTCTATTACCAACAGAGTCAGGAATAGAGAAGTATTAAACGTAGTTAAATTAACAGGTAAAATAAAAATCACGCGAGAAAATATGGTAGCAACTCTAATTCTGAAACACAGGATTCATTTCCTTTACTCTGAGAAACCTTCCTAACTCAACAGGATGCTAGCGCCAGAGAACCTAACATAATAGACATAAATTTTCTTTCACTTGAGCCATTTCCCCATATCTTTCTCTTTCTCTCCCTTTCTCTCTCATTCCAAGAGCTTAAGAACTTAGCTGCTTTTAATCCTGGACAAAGAAACACATTGGATAAGAAATCATTTGAACCTGAAATACTATAACAATTGTTAGACAATCTCTATGCTAATTAAAGTATAACCTACAAAAAAAGGCAAAAGAAAAGTAAAGGTAAAACCATGAGTCAGAATCTGGTTCATAAAACAGGTGACCTTTAGCTATGCCTCATTGGCATTTTCTCCTCACACAATATGACCACTTATATAAGACACCATGAAATTACATACTTGTTATAGTTAGTTTTGCTCTTTGCAAATGGAACTGCTCAAACTAGAAATTAGGATAATGTTTTGTATCTAAGTGCATGCTTTTTAAAAGAACCTGAAAGTATGTTAAAATTTTACTGCTGAAATATGACAATGAGAATAGAGAATTTAAACATACATACGCGTGCGCACATATACAAACATACGTATCTTTTCCTTTAAGCTTCTTTTATGGAAAGTGAAAAGAAACTGGTATGTTGACTTTTTGCCCTCCTAATTGGAGTGATGCTGCAGACACCCCACCAAAGGTCACCTTCATTCTATGTTTTCATCTGTGAGGCTTCAATGTTTGTAAAAGGTAGAGTGAAAGATAATAACAGTGCATTTTCTTTTTAACTAGTCTTTTAATTGAATATATTTTTTCTAAAAATGTTTCCGGGTTCTCCAAATCTCCATATCATTAGAATGACACTGTATGTTCTTCCAACAATCCATGTTTTGACTTCTGGTTTCCAGTCTGGTTTATAAGAAGATTAGAAGTTTCCACTCCAGTTTAACAAGAAAAAAAAAATGAAAAAAAAATATAACATTTCTTCTTGGATGTATCAAAGAAATGAGATTACTGAACAAACTGTTGGCCCCAAAATTGGAGAGCAGCAGTCAGATTCAGAGAATCATAACCTCCCAGAACAGAGAGTTATGAGCAGAAACCTCAGCAGGAGCCAATCCTAGAGTGGGAAAACCTGAACTCTAATTTACAAATTGGTGGAAGCTCAGAGAGGACACATCTGAAAGTTAAAAATTTCAGGGGTTCCCAGTCACCAGGGAGCTCCCACATTTTTATGAGCATCACCTCCAGGAGTTCTACCAGGTTCTGACAGAGAGTATCAAAAAATCCTCTCTTGCTTCCAGGAGAAGGAAGGGAAAATGAACCATTTAAAAATATGTATAGAGTATTTTGTTCTTAACAGGGCTTACCCTCAGGAGAAACTATTTTACCAAGCCTAACCTAACTAGGGGAAGGGAAATAGCCAACTGTATCCTCCTCTATCCATCCTATCGCACATGCTGCAGGGAAAAACTGAGAAGCATTGATAAAGTTCATCATTCAGGAGCACAAATTAACCAACAGATGGAAACCTAATCATAGATTTATAGAATATTTCCCTTCCTCTTACATTGCTAAAAGCCTGATTACCACAGTTTCTTTTACCCAGCACATTATATCACCTTTCAACAGTTTTAAGTGATTGAACAAACATCAGAACCAAAGTCAGATATGGCAGTAAATGTTGGAATTATCAGACCAGGAATTAAAACAAATTATGATTACCATGCTGAGGGCTTTAATGGAAAAAGTGGGCAATATGCAAAACAGATGGATAACTTCAGCAGAGATGGAAAATCTAAGAAATATGTTTTTAAATGATCAAAAAGACATTGAACAGAATTAAGCCATTATAACAGAAATGAAGAATACATTTGATGGACTCATTACTAAAATGGACACAGCTGAGGAAAGACTCTCTGAGCCTCAGGATATAATCACAGAAACTTCTGAAACTGAAAAGCAGAGAGAACACACACTGAAAAAAAAATAAAATTAAAAAAAAAAAGACCATAATACAATATCCAAGAAATGAGGACAGCTACAAAAGGTATAATATACACATAATAGAAATACTAGAAGAAAGAGAAAGGGCCAAAAGCAGTATTTGAAACAGTAACAACTGAAGATATCCCTGAAATCAATGTCGGACACCAAAGCACAGGTCCAGAAAGCTCAGAGAACACCAAGCAGAATAAATGCCCCAAACAACACCCATGCCTAGGACTATCATATTCAAATTTCAGAAAAAAAAATTATGTGTATATATATACACACTAGAAGAATCCAGAGGGAAAAAATACCCTACCTAAAAAGAGAAAAATCAGGATTAAAGCCAACTTCTCTGAGGCAAAAGGAGTGATGTGAAATATTTGAAATGTTGAGAGAAAAAAACAAACAAAAAAACACCAAACTAAAATTCTGCACTCAGCAAAATTATCCTTTAAAATTGAAGGAGAAATTAAGACTTTTTCAGACAAAAATTAAGGCAATTTGTTACCAATAGACATACTTTGTAAGAAATGTTAAAGTTTTTCAGAGATACGGAAATTAATAAGCCAAAATCAGATCTACATAAATAAATGAAAATCATTGAATAATGAATAAAAGATAAAAACTTTATTTTTATTTGATCTAACAGATAAATTCAAAATAGCAACAATGTATATATATATGTGTATATATGTATCAATGTATAAATATATATGAGGGGTTTTTCCAAAGATTTCATCAAAAATGTTTATCAAAATAAATTTCAAAATTGTTTGCACTAAAATAAACTCATTTTAACTTGCTATAGTATGACTGAACAGGATCTACTTAAAGGCACTGAGAAAAAAAATACATAATTTGATAAACTGAAGCAAGAACAAATATCAAATTTATGGTGAAGCTTGGGTGAAATAAATGGTGAAATCACTGATCCTTTATGAAAAGCTTATGAGACCAGTGCCCCAAATAAATCAGCAGTTTACAAATGGATAATGCATTTTAAGAAGGAACAGCAACTTGGAAGATGAAGCTTGCAGCAGCAAATCATCCCAATTTTCCAGGAAAAAAAATAATCTTTTTCATGCTATCATTGAAGAGAATAGATGATTAGCAGCAGAAACAAGAGCCAACACTACAAATATCTTGATTGGTTCAACTCTAAAAAATTAAATTTGAGCAAACTTTCCACTCAATCAATCCCAAAACTGCTGTGCCCATATCTGCTGTAGAAAAGAGTAGAGCTTTCAATGAAAATTTTTAACAAGTGGGATCAAGATCCTGAAACATTTCTGCAAAGAATCACAACAGTAGATAAAATATGGGTTTTCCAGTACAATCCTGATGACAAACACAATCAAAGTAAGGGCTACCAAGAGGTAAAAGTGGTTCAGTCAAAGCAAAAGAAAACCAGTCAAGAGCAAAGGTCATGACAATAAATTTTAGGGATGTTCAGGACATTTTGTTTGTTGACCTTCTGGAGGGCCCAAAAATCGTAACACCTACTTATTATGAGAGTATTCTGAGAAAGTTAGTAAAAGCTTTGGCATACAAATGCCCAAAAAATTTTGCCAGACAGGTTTTCTCCACCATGACAATGCTATTGGTCATTCCTCTCATCAGATGAGGACCTTTTGTGAGTTTCTGTGGAAATTCATCAGGCAATCACCATACATTTCAGACTTGGCTCCTTCTGACTTTTTGTTCTCTAATCTTAAAAAAATCTTTAAAGGACACTCATTTTTTTCTTCAGTTAACAAGGTACAAAAAGGATTGCATTGATCTGGTTAAATTGCCAGGATGCTCAGTTCTTTCAGGATGAACTGAATGGCCGGTATCAGTTATGAAAGTGTCTTCAGCTTAATGGAGTTTTTGTTGAGAAATAACATTTTTTAATCTTTTAGTTCCATTTTCCACAAAGTTTTTGGAGTCCCCATGTGTGTGTGTTTGTATGATTGTGTACAAGTGAAATGAATGACAGCAATATACAAATAACAAGAAGGATAAATTAAATTTTTTTATTACAAGGTACTTGCACTAATTGTGAAGTGAGACAGTGTTAGTTGAAAATAAACTGGAATTACCTGTAAATGTATTTTGCAAACTCTAGGTAAATCACTAAAAATATTTAAAAAGTATAATTGATACATTAAGAGGGTAAATGGAATAATG